GCGTGGGACCAGAGTTGGTCCGACGTGGAACGGGTCGGCGATTTGAAAATTGCCGCACCGTAGAGGGAGAGGCCAGAAGCATAGTCAGAGGAGAGCGAAGGTCCGATAATTCGAAGAAGTCAGTCGAGGCCTCAGTACCTGAAGCGGGTGAGGAAACAGCACCAGCAATAGGTACAGATGCATGAGGAATGTCTGAAGAGTGGTCCAAAGACGAGGCGGGGTCAGAACGGGGTGCGGTATCAAGAAGGGGCCCGGGGGTACCAGGTTCATGGACTAGGGCTGCCATGGTTAGGTTACTATTTTTTTTTTCTTAAAAACAAAAAGAAAAAAAAAAGAATAAAAAAAGGGGGGACCGGAGAGGGATAGTTCCTAGGAGGAATGAAAGGGCCAGAAATCTCCCTCCGCGCCCAAGAGGACCTCAGCACCGCAAGTAGCGCAGATGCCGCATGGAACCCGTGCCATACCCTACCCATCATGCTAGTAAACTAACAATCCGGGATAGCAACCTCACATCTGCCGAGCTACCTCAGTGGATAAAAGAGAGGGTGGCCGGATATCCGCCACAAAGCATATCTCCTTTGGCCACCACCCCCGGAATCCGAAAGGTGGCTTCCAGAGATACACTCGTCGCCCGAAAGACACCCAAAGCTACTCCGGGATACCGGAGAGGGATCGGGACATCCCCAGGCGATTCAGATTCCACGGCAAACTACGCCACCACTAAGAACCTCAACGGAATGGGATGGACCCCGGTATCCTTTCCCCTACCTAGGAACTAGCATGCCTGTGGGAGAAATCCCAAAGGACAAAAAGAGGAAGGGCAAAAGGGAGGGGTGGGGAGGAGGAGGAGGAAAGGAAAAAGGGGAGGATGGGGAGGATGGGATAGGGGAGGGGAGATTGGGGGGTAATTGGGTTCGGTCTGAGGAAGAAGACCGATAGGTCTAATTCCTCAGACCAAGAGCCTCTTCACCACGCCAAGGAACCCCCCTTGAAGAGGAGTGTTTGCAATATCAACACCGGCAACACGCAGAACAGGAGCCGGGTCAGGAGAATATTTACCACTCAATTTCTGTTCTTTTTTACAGACTGCACTCAGAGGAAGCAGAGGCGATGGTAGAGAATCTCACCAGCAAGTGCGTTTAGCGTCACGGATGACACGGCGAGCGATCGTACGCTTCTGCTTAAAATCAAGAAGTCTCTCAGTGGTTCTATCATACCGGTACCTGCCCCACGCAGCAAGTTTCAAATGTACTGCACAAGCACACCAAGGCACGCATTTCTGAGAATGCCTGCCCGAGGTTTGGGGTATAGAATGAAAACCTGGGGTTAAAACTGAGAACGAGAAGAGGTGTAAAAGCTCATCAATGGAGGACGAAGAAGGAACCTCACTAAAAACAGTTGAGAGTAAAGGTCCCAATTTGCCTGATCAAATTGCCAGCCTGGGTTATGAAGAGGTGGTGAATATGAAGGGGAAGTAAGAATGATTGGAAAATGATCACTGCCATGTAAATCAGGGAGAATAGACCAGGTGAAGTCTAATGCAGCAGAGGAAGAGCAGACAGAGATTGATGCAAGAGAGTATGAGTACTTGAATCAAAATGGGTGTGAGTACCTGTATTTAAAACATGGAGGGGGTGGAAAGCAAGAAAAGCCTCTAACTGAATGCCACGGGAATCACAGTGAGACCCCCTCCAGAGAAAATGATGGGTATTAAAATCGCCAAGTAACAGAAATGGTGGCAGTAATGACGAAACAAGAAAGGCAATATCCGGAATAGATAATGCTCGAGAAGGAGAGAGAGGTGTTAAGAACGGAGTGAATACCACCTATGCAGGTGGATACAGGCTGCTGTGTAATGCAGCTAAGTATGAACAAATAGCTGATGGTACAGAATATCAGTGTGTAGAAGAGCACTTTCATTAATGGTCCCATCAGGAAAAGGATCCGAAGAATACAATAAATTTTAACCTGAGACAGGATAGATAACAGCCGAGTGTAATTTTGGTTCTTGTAAGCAAACACCAACAGGGGAAAATTGGGAGAGCAACGTCTGAAGCTCACCCCGATTACCCCTCCTGCCTCCCATATTCCACAGTAAATAGGCCATGATTGGTAACAAAGATACTAGAAATCCGCAGGTAAGGGTACTTATGGATTAGAGGGGTTAGAAAAGTCCACATGCAGTGGCAGCGGAAAACGTTCAAGCAGTGAAGGACCGGTGCACTGTGAAGAAAGGAGTTCCGCAGATGGGAAGAGGAAAGAGGAACAGTGTGGATCAGTGGCCATTGATGGTTTGGTCTCTGCAATATATTCAGAGATGGCATCAAGTGTTTCAGAGTTCAGAGACGTCGTATGGGAGACAATATTGGAGATTGTAGTAGTAGTAGTTTGAGTAAACATCTGAACAGTAATGGACTGTATCAAGGTGGAGGGGGGGGCGCAAAAGGGTGGAGGGAACTGGAGAAGTGTGGGAGGGGACAGAAGAGGCAGAAACTTGGGAGGTGGCAGAAGAGGAAGAAACTTGGGAGGGGACAGGGGAGGAAGGCACAGTACGAGGAGGATGAACCTCCACACTTGTAACAGAGGCAGTGAAAGGGCAAGACCCAGGTACAGAGACCGGGAAGGTAAAGTGTGGAGGTGGAAGAAGGGAAGGAGGGGTTAAAGGAGATTTTTTGGACTTCTGAGAAGTAGGACGATTGGGAAGAGATGTCGTACGAGGTCTTGTTGATACCGGGGTTTGTGAGGGAGAACACCAAGAAGTGAGAACAGACTGAGGAGTTGAAGTAGGGACATCTGAGCCCAGGACAGCAAAGGAATTAGATACAGGAGTGACTATGGCACTCGCAACCGCAGAGGAGGCTGCAGAAGATGGGATCCCAGAAGTGGGGGATGTTTTGAAACATGAGAATAAGAAACGTGGAGTAGTTTCCCTTGGAGGCGGAGATGAGAAACTGCCATAGCATAAGGGAGACCTTCTGCCTCTTTGAGGCAACAAATTTCCCGCTCATTTAAGTAGACCTGGCAACGGCGAGAGTACGAAGGGCGAGCCTCATGACAATAAGGCAAGAGGGAGGTCGACTGCAAGCGTATTAGAATGGTTATCGGCATCACAGACTGGGCATTCGACTATAGATCTGCAATATTTTGCTGGGTTGCCAAATCGCCAGCAATTTCTACACTCTGGTGTAGAGATCACCTTTCAAACTTATAACCGATGTCCTGCTACATAAACAGAGGATGGGAGTTCACGGCTGTCAAAAGTTAAACGAGCCACATTGCAAGGGTATCGTCTCCGCCCGCGGGCAGGAAGAGCATGAGTGTCTACCTTGAGAATTTGGAGATCTTGGAGTTACAGCTGTTTGACAATTTCATTGCCACATGTCTGGAAATTCTGTTGGACTATGGTATGGGGCAGAATGACAGTACCACTACAAGAATTGAGGGAATGATGTTTTTCGATAGTGATAGGAATAGTATCGATATGTGAAAGAAGAGAAAGATCATGAGCTTGGGTAGCATTCTGGACTGTGATGATATGCATACCACTCTTAAGAGCATGAAAGTAAATATCTCTACCAACATAGCTTAGGAGTGCTTCGCCAATACTATGGTCGGAAAGATAGGCAGTAGAAAAAGTAGGTCTTAAAGAATTTAGTCCATTGTGTGGTCCGAAATTGAGTGTGGAGAGGGAGTGCACGACGTGTCGGTCTTTTCCGAGTAGAATGGGAAGGTAACAATGTAACGTCATCAGTAGATTCTCGTTGGAGTTCAGAAGTGGGACCCCGAGTTGGTCCAACGTGGGACGGGCTGGCGATTCGTAAATTGCCGCACTATAGAGAGGCCAGAAGCATAGTCAAAGGAGAGTGGAGTTCAGACAAATCGAAGGAGTCAGTCGAAACCCTGGCACCTGAAGTGGGCGACGAAACAGCATCAGCAAGAAGTGCAGGGGTCTTAGGAGTGTCCGAAGATTGGCCAAAGGATGAAGCGAGGTCAGAACAGGGTGCGGTAACAAGAAGGGGCCCGGGGGTAGCGGGGTCGTGGATTGGGGACTCAATGGTTAGGTTACTTTTTCTTTTTCTTAAAAACAAAGAAAAGAAAATAAAAATAAAAAAAGAAAAAATGGGGGGAGCAGGGAGGGATAGTTCCTAGGAGGAATGACAGGGCCAGAAATCTCCCTCTGCACCCAAGAGGACCTCAGCACCGCAAGTAGCGCAGATGCAGCATGGAACCCATGCCATACCCTACCCTTCATGCCAGTAAACCAGCAATCCAGGATAGCAACCTCACATCTGCCGAGCTACCTCAGTGGACAAAAGAGGGCGGCCGGATATCAGCCACAAAGCATACCTCCTTCGGCCACCACCCCCGGAACCCGAATGGTGGCTTCCAGAGATGCAACCGTCGCCCGAAAGTCGCCCGAAAGTCACCCAAAGCCACCCTCCGGGATACCGGAGAGGGATCAGGACATCCCCAGGCGATCCAGATTCCATGGCAAACTACGCCACTGCCAAGAATATCAACGGAATGGGATGGACCCCGGTACCCTTTCCCCTACCTAGGAACTAGGGCGCCTGTGGGAAAATCCCAAAGGCCAAAAGAGGAAGGACAAAAGGGAGGGGTGGGGAGGAGGAAAGGAAAAAAGGGGAGGATGTGAAAGGGAAGGGGGGATTGGGGGTAATTAGGTTCGGTCTGAGGAAGGAGACAGACAGGTCTAATTCTTCAGACCAAGAGCCTCTTCACCACGCCAAGAAGCCCCCCTTGAAGAGGGGTGTGATCATTAATTCCCATGTATATCTGTGGTATGATTATTAATTCCCATGCATGTCTTTGGGGTGTCTATGGCATGTCTGTTCCGTGTCCACATTACAATTTTTTTTAGTTATTTCCTGATAAGGAAAGCTTAATTTCCTTAGCACGTAAAAGAGCATAGCAGCATTTACATACACTTTTAACAAAGGAAATTTATTGTTATATGGAGTGGGAAAAGCAAAACGCATTAGTGTCATAGCATCTGGTTAATGGGAGATAATTATAATCAGACTTGTTTAGAGTGGGAAGACTAAATCAGGTGCTCTTCACAGCATCAAAGTACTCATTCACAAAGTGAACAGCAACTGATTTAAATACTTATGATGGATAACCATTTAAGGATAAATGTTAGATCATTTAGAAAACATGAACTTATTCAAGGAGGGTATGGTCCCACCAACACATTTAATATACTTAAAACCTAAGTAATGTTCAAAATATTCACGAAAATGCGCAAAATAATTGAAGTACAACTAACGCTGATTATATATTTGCCGTAGACAGACATTCAATTAAAATCTGTAAATGAATAAAGCTAAATTTATATTTTATTCATATTTTAACGATTTTGACGTTTTATGTTGAAGAGGCTGTGAAGTCTCACTTTGTACTTACACTAAAAATGTTTTTAATATTTTAAGAGTGCGGAAACGGTAAACATACTGAACAATCCTACACCTTTGTAAATATCGTATGTTAAGTACGGATATACAACAGGTTCACCTAGATATCGGTCTGCAGATGAAGCCTGGATCAGATGGTTGCATGGAAGCAAGAACTTCTGAAATGAAACGAGTTTATGGATGGGATGATCATGTGCTTGTGAGAACGAAAATTTGGGAAAATGGATGAAGACAACAATTGGCACTGGAGGTAGCTGTGTTGAAGTGGACTCTGTGTCAATTGAGCATGACAGGTGATGGTGGTCGGGACCTTGACTGGATGTCAAGAGTGTTGCTAGATTAGGAGGACTAGGACGTAGATTGGACTTGTGGGTGAGGTTCATTTAAAATGATGTCGGTTCTTTTGTTCCATCTCCTGGTTCCGGAACCGTAGTGGGATCGTTAAGGGTTATGATTGATGTCTCGTTTCATCTCAGAGTCCTGGAATCACTGTTGGTTTGTTAAGGCTGACGATGGGTTCCCCCCCTTCCTTCTCCTGGAATCGAAACCATCCTGGGTTAGTTAAAACTTACAGGAGATCTGCTTTTCCATCTATCAGTCAAGGAGCTGCTGTGGGTTCCTTAAGTCTGACCGTGGGTTTCTTTTTCCATAAAACGGTTCCTGAACCACTGTGAATTCGTTAAGGCAGGCGGCGAGTGTCTCGTTCCATTTGGCGGTCACGGAACCTCTCCCGGCGCGCGCGCCGCTCCTCACCTGCTTCCTGCAGTTCTTGTTGACTCATACCAGCATTGCTCAGCAGCGGCCACCGCCTCCTGCCAACGCCTGCGGGAACGTAAGTATAAATAAGACTAGTTTCAACAGCAGAGGCGAATTCGTATGAAAAGTGAAAGGTTACAGTAGAGGTGGAAGGGTCACAGCAGAGAGAGGGGGTACCAAAAGAGGGGGGGGGTAGCAGACAACAGATATGGAGGAGTCACAATAGAAAGTGATCAGAAGTGAAAGTTAAATAGCGGAAATAACGCTGTACTACATACGCTTATGTCTGAGTATCGTTGGAGGTGCCCTCACCTAGGTGTTGCAACAGTGAGGTTTCTCTTCTCTAGTACAACACCAAAGTGTTGCAACACATAGTGAGGCTTCTCTCCTCCAGTAGCAACACCAGAGAATGGTGTGAGGGAGAGGGTACACATGGTGGAGGGAGGGGGGTACACATGGAGGGAGTACACATGGAGGGAGTACACATGGAGAGTGGAGGGAAAGGGATACACATGGAGGGTGGAGGTACAAGAAGGAGGGTGGAGGGAGGGGGTACACATGATGAAGGGTGGAGGGAGGGGTACTCATGATGAAGGGTGGAGGGAGGGGGTAACTCATGATGAAGGGTGGATGGAGGGGGTACTCATGGAGGGTGGAGGTATACATGAAGGATGGTAGAGGGAGGGGGTACATATGGAGGGAGGGGATACACATGGAGGGAGGGGGTACACATGAAGGATGGTAGAGGGAGGGGGGTACACATGGAGGGATACACATGAGGGTGGAGGGAAAGGGATACACATGGAGGGTGGAGGTACAAGGAGGGTGGAGGGAGGGGGTACACATGATGAAGGGTGGAGGGAGGGGGTACACATGGAGGGTGGAGGTATACCATGAAGGATGGTAGAGGGAGGGGGGTACATATGGAGGGAGGGGATACACATGGAGGAGGGGGTACACATGAAGGATGGTAGAGGGAGGGGGCACACATGGAGGGTAACACATGGAGGGAGGTACACATGGAGGGTGGAGGAAGGGGGTACACATGGAGGGTGGAGGAAGGGGTACACATGAAGGAGGGTCAAAGGAGGGGGGTACACATCATGGGTGGAGGGAGGTACACATGGAAGGAGGAGGTACACATGGAAGGTGGAGGTACACATGGTGGGTGGAGGGAGGGGTACACATGGTGGGTGGAGGGGGTACACATGGAGGGTGGAGGTACACATGATGGTGGGTGGAGGTAGGAGGTACACATGGAGGGTGGAGGTACACATGGTGGGTGGAGGTAGGAGGTACACGGAGGGTGGAGGTACACATGATGGTGGGTGGAGGTACACATGGTGGGAGGAGGTACACATGGTGGAGGGAGGGGGTAACACATGATGGTGGGTGGAGGTAGGAGGTACACATGTGGGTGGAGGTAGGAGGTACACATGGGGTGGAGGTACACATGATGGTGGTTGAGGTAGGAGGTACACATGGAGGGAGGAGGTACACAGTGGAGGGAGGGGGTACACATGGTGGAGGGAGTACACATGGTGGAGGTACACATGGTGGAGGTATGAAAGGGAAGAAATGGTAGAGCAAAGAATATTACACTTTATAAATAATAAAAATAATAACTAAGAATTATTATTAATGAGAATGAAAATAATAATTTATTATAACTATTTCATTGTCATTTTTATTATTGATATTATAATTTCCGTTGTGAAAAAGGTGCATAAATTCGCTGCAACAACACGAGACAATTCTGGTTTTTCTGGGTCTTATTAACACTATTGTACGTCACGGGCAGAGGCTCACAAACGAAGGATCCTGGAGTTGACATCCAGGTCTGCTAAGCCGTGGGTGATATTTCCTTAAATTTGCTGCACCTGCTTACCCAGCAGTTAATGGTATCTAGCTAGTCTCCTGTCACCTGCTGCCCCTGTTCATTTAGCAGTGAATAGTCTCATTATACCTGCTCCTCCTGTTCACCTAGTAATGAATAGGTACTTAGGTTCTAGACTTCTTACACTTGCTACCCTTGTTCACCTAGCAGTAATTAGGTACCTAGGCACTATTATTAATAATATATTACCGACAAGTTGAAGAACAAGTTACATTTGCAGCACTTGGGTATCATTATTGCCGGTAATAAAGATACCCAAATGTTGCATGTATTCCTTGCTTACCAGGTACCCAGCTGCTGTTCTACTTACCCGTGCTGCCCATTTTTACCTAAGAGTAGCTAGGTACCTAGTGCTAGTTTCCTTACACCTCCTGCACAGGTTCACCTAGCAGTGAATACCGTAGGTACCTAGTTATTAATCCCTGTTCCTGCTTACCCTGTTCATTTAGCGATTAGATTCCAAGGTGTTACAAATGCAAGCCTACTTACACCTGTTACAGTTGTGCATCTAGCAGTGAAACGGTGCCAAGGGGATACCATCGCTACACCTGCTCTCCTTATTCATCTAGCAGTGAATAGGTATCTGATTCCCGTCCTGAGAGGAGATAGTAATATACAAGTGGGCTTTGTAATGACCTGACGCGTTACACGAGTATGACGTCTTTTACGACTCTTATGACACGAGTTCTAACACTATCCGTACAATATCGAAGTAAAATAACAGCTCAAGGCCTGTATAATCAACTGTAGAGGAAAAAGTCCTGGTAAATAAAGAACAAAAAAAGGCACAACACATAATGGAACAATACAAAAATAACCCGTACATAGGAAAGAAATATTTGTATCAGCTTTTCGGTCCGATCTGGACCATTATGTAGTCACATTGACTTGTAAATGGTCCTAATGTGCGGGCTATTGTTCTGGTAAATAATGTGCAACTGTGTAAATGATTTCGTAGGATGACCTGCAATCTACCTCAAAATTGCACTTGCATGGTGCTTCGGAGTCTATCAAACAAGGTAGCGCACTCAGCTCACACACAGAGGTCCGGGGACGACCCACGGTACGGCTGGAAACATTAAGACGTGTTTCCTTAAGACATCTGCTGTTCATTTTCACCTAGCACTAAAACAGGTACCTGGGTGTTAGTCGACTGGTGTGGGTCGCATCCTGGTTGTAACATTGACCTAGTTGGCCCGAAATGTTCTGCATAACAAGGGGCTTTCTGTATAGTAGTATGTCATTGATGTCAGCTATACCTGTATACCTCATACATGTACTTTTGAAGTCAATATTATTATTATTTTCAACAAGTCGGCAGTCTCCCACCGAGACAAGGTGACCCAAAAAGTAAGTAAAACCCCAAAAAAGAAAATACTTTATTAATCATTCAACACTTTCACCTAACTCGTACGTAATCACTGTCTTTGCAGAGGCGCTCAGATACGGCATTTCAGAAATCCCTCCAAACTGTCAAATATCCCAAACCCTTCCTTTAGAGTGCAAGCATTGTACTTCCCATTTCCAGGACTCAAGTCCGGCTAACCGGTTTTCCCTAAATCCCTTCACTATATGTTACCCTGCTCACACTCCAACAGTTCGTCAGGTCCCAAAAACCATTAGTCTCCATTCACTCCTATCTAACACGCTCACACACGCTTGCTGGAAGTCCAAGCCCCTAGCCCACGAAACCACCTTATACCTCCTCCCTCCAACTTTTCCGAGGACGATCTCCTACCCCTCCTTCCTTCCCCTACAGATTTTATACACTCTCCAAAGTCATTCTACTTTGTTCCATTCTCTCTAAATGAACAAACCACCTCAATAATCCTCTTCAGCCCTCTAATACCTTTAATAACTCCACACCTCCTAATTTCCACACTCCCAATTCTCTGCATAATACTTACACCACACATTACCCTTAGACAGGATATCTCCACTGCTGCTAGCCGCCTCCTTGCTGCGGCATTTACAACCCAAGCTTCACACCCATACAAGTGTTGGTACCACAGTATTTTCATACATTTCCTTCTTTGCCGCCATAGATAGTTGTTTTTTTTTGTCTCCACATATACCTTAACGAACTACTCTCCTTTTTTCCTTCTTCATCATTTCTATGGTTAACCTCATCCTTCAAACCCATCCTCTGACAAATCAACTCCCAAATATTTGAAAACATTCACTTCTTACATTCTCCCTCTCATGTAATATCCAATTTTTCTTTATCTAAATAATTTGATACCCTCATCACCTTACTCTTTTCTATCTTCACTTTCAACTTTCTACCTTTTCACACACTCCCAAACTCAATCACTAACCTTTGCAACTTTTCTATAGAATCTCCCATAAGCACAGTATCAGCAAAAAGGAACCGAGTCAACTCATTTTGTTCTTTATTTCCCATAATTTAATCCCACTCCTCTCACCAACACCCTAGCATTTACTTCTTTTACAACCTCATCTATAAATATATTAAACAACCATGGTGACATTACACATTCCCGTCTAAGACCTACTTTTACAGGAAAGTAGTCTCCCTCTCCTACACACCCTAACCTGAGCCTCACTATCCTCATAAAAGCTCTTTACAGCATTTAGTAACTTTCTACCTATTCCATACACTTGCAATATCTGCCACATTACTCTCCTATCCACTATCACATGCCTTTTCTAAATCTATAAATGGAATGAAAACTTCCCTACCTTTATCTAAAACCTGTTCACATATATGCTTCAATGTAAACACTTGATCTACACATCCCCTACCCACTCTGAAACCTCCTTGCTCATCCGCAATCCTACATTCTGTCTTACCTCTAATTCTTTCAATAATAACCTTACCATACACTTTATCTAGTATACTCACTAAAATTATTCCTCTATAATTTTTACAATCTCTTTTGTCCCACTTCCCTTTATATAAAGGAACTATTCACCCTCTGCCAATTCTTAGGTACCTTTCCCTCTTTCAAGGTAAATACCAACCACTCTAACACTATCCCCCCCTGCTTTAACATTTCCGTAATGTTCGTCAGTTCCAGCTGCTTTACTCCATTTCATTTTACATAATGCCTCATGCACCTCCCCCACACTCGCATCCTGCTCTTCTTCACTCCTAAAAGATTTTATACCCCCCTGGCCAGTGCATGAAATTACCGCTTCCCTTTGT